GAGAGAACCATTGATCGGCTGCCTCCTGCTCAGCCCACACTGGGGATCGAGCTGGTAACCCTGGCAGGGGCCCTGACCGGGAATTGAACTGTGATCTCCTGGTTCATAAGTTGAAGCTCAACCAGGGAGTCTTGAGTTATGGAGGCTGGGGTTCGAGGAGATGTGAGAACAGGTGTTTCTGTCCCTTTGGTAACAGGAGGCTTGGTCTCAGGCCTGGCCTTGACAATGAGTGGAGACCTGGCCTCCTGGGACCTGAGGGCCTGGAGCAGCGGTTCTCAACCTGTGGGTCGCGACCCCTTTCACAGGGGTCACCTAAGACCATTGGAAAACACATATATAATTACGTATTGTTTTTGTGATTAATCACTATGCTTTAATTATGTTCAATTTGTAACAATGAAAATACATCCTGCATATCAGATATTTACATGAGGATTCATAACAGTAGCAACATTACAGTTGAAGTAGCATCGAAAATAATCTTATGGCTGGGGGTCACCACAACATGAGGAGCCGTATTAAAGGGCCGCGGCATGAGGAAGGTTGAGAACCACTGTGCCTCCTATGATCACAGAGTGCCATGAGCACGACCTCAGCCCAGACCAGGAAGGAGTGGACAGGCCCCTGAAAGCTAAACTTTTCGTGTGTTCTGGGCTGATTCTGAAGAAAACTATAACATTATAACATGGGAACCTGATATAATAAAAAGTTACTTGGTCTGGGTCCCCACTTTCTGACACAGAGCTGCAGAAAGCCTTGGGATTTCCTGCTAGGAGTGTCTGTCCGTGACCAGCCCCTTGACCAGGCTGCGTGTGCACCATGGCAGGCCTCAGGCAGCTCTGAGGAGGGGCTGGCCACGCCAGAAGGATCGAGAAGGGGATTGGAAGGTCAGAACTTGCAGCTCCACTTCCTGGCCTCTCGCAGGACAGGGACTGGAGAGGGCTCCATCACAGGCAGTAAAAAAAAAAAAAAACGGTAGGTTTTTTAAAAATATATATTTTTATTGATTTCAGAGAGGAAGGGAGAGGGAGAGCGAAATAGAAACATCAACGATGAGAGAGAATCATTGATCGGCTGCCTCCTGCACACCCCACACTGTGGACTGAGCCTGCAACCTGGGCATGTGCCCTGACCGGGAATCGAACCGTGACCTTTTGGTTCATAGGTCAACGCTCAACCACTGAGCTATGCTGGCCGGGCTGTGAACTCTTGTTTTAATGAATAGCTGCCCCTCATAGAGCATGTACTATATGTGCACTAGGCCGAAACCTTCACATGCATTGCTTTGTCTCATCAGATCCTCACAATTATCCTTCAGGATTCCCATTTTGCAGATGAGGCTATGGGGGTGCTGCAAGGTTAAGGAACTTGCCCAAGGTCACGAACTGGGAAATGGAAGAACTGGCTGGGCTGGAGCCAGGGTTCTGTGACCCCAGAGTCAAGCTGTCGATATCCCCTGACCGCCCTTCATTTCCAGGCCTGGACGCCCATCCTCTCGGCCTCCAAGCGTTGCTGTCCGGAGGGTGACAGGCCACAGTGCACAGGTCACTGGGGATCTATGGCCTGAGCTGGACAGGACCCCTGGTCCATCTGTTCCCAGACCACGAGGGCCAAGGAGCCCATGCTCAGCCAACGGAG